CCCCCCAAATTTGATGGAAACTATAAACCAAAATTCAGGATGTTCAACAAGCCTCAACCACAAGAAACATAAAAAATGATACCATGACACATCATAATCAATTTGCTCAAAAACAATTATAAAGAGAACATCTTAAAAGCCGTCAAAGGGGGAAAAAGGCACATTATGTACCAACAAACAAAAACCAGAGTGACTTTACACCTCTCCTCCAAAACAATGCAAATGAGAAAACAATGGAGTCATCTTTTTTTTTAAGGTTTTATTTGTTTGAGAGACAGAGAGAGAAAGAGCATGAGCAGGGGAAGGGGGCAGGGAGAGGGAGAAGCAGGCTCCCCGCTGAACAGAGAGCCTGAATCAGGGCTCAGTCCCAGGACCCTGAGATCATGACCTGAGCCGAAATCAGACGCTTAACTGACTGAGCCATCTAGGCGCACCAGAGTCATCTTTTTTTTTTTTTTTTTAAAGATTTATTTATTTATTTGGGGGAGGGCAGAGGGAGAGAGAGAATCTCAAGCAAACTCCCTGCTGAGCGTGGAGCCTGACGCAGGGCTCAACCTCCCAATCCTGAGACCATGACCTGAGCCAAAATCAAGAGTCAGATGCTTAACCAACTGAGCCACCCAGGCACTCCTGGAGCCATCTTTTTTAAAGTAATAAAAGACAAAACTATCATCCTAGAATTCTATGCACAGAGAAAAATCTTTAAAAATATCTTTAAAAAAACCAAGGCAAAATAAGAAAAAATTCAAACACAGAAGAGCAATTTCATCACCAGCAGACATACAGTACAGTCTATTTTTCTTGTTTCTGAAGGAAAATGATACAATAGATATACTGATCTACACAAAGGAGTAAATTGTAATGAAATTAATCATTAAATGGGTAAATATTTTTATATGTTAAAATCTATTTAATAGTGATGTAGTCTTTAAGCCAAAGTAATTCAAAAAGTAGTGTGGTGGTTATAAAATATATAAAAATTAATGAATGTCCACATGCTACAGGCTAACTATGTCTCCTCCAAATTTATATGTTGAAACTTAATCCTCAATATAATCGTATTTGGGCATAAGACCTTAGGGAGGTGATGGGGTGCCTGGGTGGCTCAGTTGGTTACATGTCTGCCTTCAGCTGAGGTCATGATCCCAGGGTCCTGGGATTGAGCCCCACATTGGGCTCCCTGCTCAGCGGGAAGCCTGCTTCTCCCTCTCCCCCTGCTTGTGTTCCCTCTCTCGCTGTCTCTCTCTCTGTCAAATAAACAAATAAAATCTTAAAAAAAAAAAAAAGACCTTAGGGAGGTGATTAAGTCATGAAGGTGGAGCCTTATAAAAGAGGCCCTAGGAGACTCTTCACCCCGGCTGCCATGTGAGGACACAGGAAAGGATGGCTGTCTATGAACCAAGAAGTTCATTCTCACTAGATACCGAATATGCCTGCACCCCAGACTTGGACTTCCCAGCCTCCAGAACTGTGAGAAATAGATTTCTGTTGTTGATAAACCACCCAGTATAGGATGTTCTGTTACAGCAACCTGAAAGGACTTTAAGAAATTGGTACCAAGAGTAGGGTGCTGCTGTAACAAATCCTAAAAATGTGGAAGTGACTTTGGAATTGAGAAATAATAGAGGCTGAAAGGGTTTTGAGGGGTATGCTGGAAAAAGCATTGTAGGTCGCCATGAACAGACCATTAAGGGTGACACAACAATAGATCTAAGTTAGGAGAAGAAACCAATCAAAAAGAAAACAGAAAAAATATTGGGAAAAGTTAATGAAATTAAAAGCTGTTTACTTAAGGAGATCAATAAGACATGTTAATCTGTAGCCAGTATGATTAGGAAAAAAAAGGAAAAAGGAAGAAAATACAAATTACGAAAATCAACAATGGAAGAGGTGACATTACCACAGATTCCATAGATATCTAAAGGACAATACAGGAATAGTATGGATAGTTTATGGCAGTAATTTTGGCCATATAAATAAAACAAACATATTACTTGAAATATACAAACTAACCAAATTCATTAAGAAGAATTAGATAAGGGCGCCTGGGTGGCTCAGATGGTTAAGCATCTGCCTTCGGCTCAGGTCATGATCCTGGAGTCCCGGGATCGAGTCCCGCGTCGGGCTCCCTGCTCGGCGGGGGGTCTGCTTCTCCTCCCTCTGACCCTCCTCCCTCTCCTGCTCTCTGTCTCTCGTTCTCTCTCTCTCAAATAAATAAATAAATAAAATCTTTAAAAAAAAAAAAGAAGAATTCTGAAAATATCCCCATAGCTATTAAAGAAATTGAATTTGCAGTTAAAAAAAAAAAACAAAAACCTTCCCATAAAGAAAAATTCAAGCTTAGATGGCTTCATTGGTGACTTCTACAAAATATTTAAGGAAGACACAACGCCAATCCTACAGTTATAGAAAATGAAGAAGATGGGATACTTCCCAAATTATTCTATGATGCCAGCATTACCCTGGTAACAAAGCTAAACAAAGTCATTAAAGGGAAAGAAACATCAGATACCCCCCCACAAACATGCAAATATGTTTAGAATAGTTTAGCAAACCTAATCTAAAAATTTATACAGAGGATAATATATTATGACCAGGTGGGGTTTATCTCAGGAATTCAAAGTATTTTTGCCATGCAGAAATCAATGTTATTTGTTATTTTAGCAAACTTTACTTTAAAAAGTAAAAGCTGTGTGAATATCTCAATAGGTGCAAAAAAGGCATTTGACCAATCCATGTATCTGAAACAAAGCATTTGTCACAAGGCCTCAGAACATTAGGAATAAAAGGCAACTTAAATTGAAAAATGGTATGTACAAAAACCCTAAAGCTAGCATCACACTTAACGGCTTCCCCTCTAATATCAGAAATAACACAAAAATTACTGCTTTTATCACTTTTATTCAACAAAAGTAGGTTCCAACCAGTGCAATAAGGCCAGGGATAAAAGTTTTTCTGATTGGAAAGGAAGAAGTGAAACTGTCTTTATTAAGAGATGACATGACTATCAATGTAGAAAAATCAACAGACTTTGCAAAAAAAGCTACTAGAATTGATGTTAGTTTATAAAGGTTGCATAATTCAAGATCAGTACAGAAAAATAAATTATATTTCTATATATCAACAATGAGTATGCTGACTAAAAATTACAGTACTACTTACAATAGTATCAAAACATAAAATACTAAGGAAAACCTAGAGAAAAAAAAATGTGAAAGAACTATGCACTGACAACTACAAAATATTCATGAAATAACACATACGTAAATGGAGAGATGGTCAGGAAATTCAAAATTGTTAAGATGTTAAAATTGATTTATTTATTCCACCAAATTCTAATCAGGCATTTTTATAGACATTGACAAACTGATTCTAAAATTCCTATAGAAATTCAAAGGACCTAGAAGAGTCAAAACAACTTCTAAAAGAAGAAAGAACATGAAGGACTAATACAACCTAATTTTAAGATTTACAAAATACAAAGTAATCAGCACAGGGTGGAAATGGTGTAAATACATAGAAAGCAATGAAAGAGAAAACTGTCCAGAAATGTGGACAACTTATACCTACCAAATTACAAAGGTAACTCAGTAGAGAAAAGCTTCTCTTAAAAAAAAAAAAATTCTGGAACTACGGGATATCCACAGGTAAGAAATAAAAATAAAAAAAATAACCTTACAAGGCACCTGACTGGCTCAGTCAGAAGAGTGTGAGACTTGATTGCGGGGTCATGAGTTCAAACCCCAAGTTCAGTGTAGAGATTACTTAAATAAATAAAAACTTTTAAAAGAATAAATAAAAACTTTGATCCATACCTTGCATCATCCAAAAAAATTAAATTTAAATAGAGGACAGATCTAAATGTAAAACCTAAGATTATAAAACTTAGCACAATGAAAAACACCTTTATGACATTTCCATAGGGAAAGGTTTCTTAGATACAACACAAAAAGAACAATCCATAAAAAAATAAACTGATACATTGCACTTCATCAAATGTAAAAACTGCTCTTTGAAAAACACTGTTAAGACAGTGTAAGACAGACAATGAAAATGTAAGCCATAGATGGAAAGAAAAGATTGAGAGAAAAATTTACAAATCATATATTGGGTAAAGGACTTACATTCAGAAAGCACAAAGAACTCAAACCCAATGATATAAGGCAATATAATTTTATTTTATTTTATTTTAAAGATTTTATTTATTTGAGAGAGAGTGAGAGAGAGCAAGTGTACAGAGGGAGTGGGGGAGAGAGGAGCTGACTCTCCGCCAAGCAGGGAGCCTGAGATCACAACCCTAGCTGAAGGCAGATGCCCAAATGACTGAGCCACCCCGGCGCCCCAAGACAATACAATTTTAAAATGTGTAAAAAATTTGAACAGATACTCACCACAGAAGAGATAAATGGCAAATAAGCACACGAACAAATAGTCATTAGGGAAACACAGATTAAAAGCACAGTGAGATACCACTACACACCTATCAGAATAGCCAAAATTAAAATGACTATACCAAGTGTTGGGGAGTATGTGGAGGAAGTGCAATTCTCATACACTACTAGAAGAAATATTACATAGTACAACCACTTTCAGAAAGTTTGGTGGTTTCCTAAAATGTTAAATAAACACCTATCATATGCTTCTGCCATTCCTCTCTTCGCTCAAATTTAACCAAAAGAAATGAAAGTACGTATGTATACAAAGACATGAACACAAATATTTGTGGCAGCTTTATTTGTAATAGCCTCAAATTGGAATCAACCCAAATGTCTGTTAAAAGACGAATGGATAAATAAGCTGTGGGGTATGCCCATATAATGGAATAGTATCCTGCAACAAAAAGGAATGAACCTTCACTGCCCATTCCAGGAGAAAGCTGGCATAGGGCACCTGCGTTGACCCACCTCTGGGAAGAATCTGGCTGCGCCTGGCTACGCGGTCTCCTAGCAACCGAAAAACAAACCACTGAAGCTGGTGGTCGCCCGGGGACCAGAGGTACCATGGTGGACAAGAAGTGGCTGTTAAGTCCTGGGCCACTGGAACCAATGCCCCTGGGCATGAACTGCAAGCCCTGGTACAAAGACAGGTTACCTTCCAAGTGTTTCGCAAAGCACAAGAACAAGCTTCTGAAGTTCCCCACCACCCTGGACAGCCGGCGGTGGATATTTGTGAAAGAGGGGCTGGACGACTTCAGGAGGGGATGTCCACCTTGTGAAGATCTGATCACACGCAGCCCTAAGGAAGGCTTTCTTCCCATGATTGCTCACAGACTTCCCAAACCTGCCCTCACAAAGAATCAGAAAAAGCTGACCCACGAAGCAGACCTGTTCTCCACACTGTCGCCAGCCCAGCTAGCGCGGAAGGCATTCGTAAAGGATATCGAAGACCACCTGACTGAGCATCCCTTGGCTCTCTACCCAAGTCTGGAGAAAGATCTACCTCCAGATCTCTTATTAAAGGTGCTGGAAGTGCTCGATCCTGACAAGAAGCTGAAGGACACGTGGACTTATTGTCAGAACACTGAGAAAATAACGAAGCCCCCCACAAAGCTTAGTGAGAAACGTCCTGCCAAAGTCAACCCGGAACTTCCCAAGAAGACTCCTGGGTCACATCCAGACAAGTTGCCTCATGAAGAAAGGAGATCAAGCACAAAGGATTTGCTCAAAAATCCTGCCCCTCATAGAAAAGTACCGAGAGGAGTCCGGAAATTCTGCAAATGGATTGCTACTTTTGGAGACTTGGGCATTGATGAAGAATTCATCATGAAACAGTTTGACATTGGCTATGAATGCAAACCAACCTATGACAGGAGCCACACGAAGAAAGTAAACCATGTTCCTTTGGACCTAAAGTACAGAATGGGGCTAGATAAAATGGATGATATAAAATTCTCCATATACTGGGAAAATTGGGAGAGGAAACTCAAGACACCACAGAATCCTTACAAACCCAACTGGGTGAAGATGAGGTATGGAGCATGGTACCTGAAGCCCAAGTTGTGGAAAAATCTAATAAATGATGAACCTTTGATTGATCCCAAGGTCTTACATGAAGCTCAAGATGGGAGATATGGAAAGAATTTTCCTGAACAGGATATTCTTGAAGATCTTTATGGAACAATTGCTTTTAAAGATTTTATTCTAAACAAGGGCTATAGGATGCCAGGCTTCCTTGAGAAGTTATTCATCAGGAAGGGATGGAAATATGATTCTGTTAGGACTCCTATACACCAAGTAAAAATAAACTCAAATGTAGAAAATGCACATGAAGGTGTTTAAACAGTTTTCTACTTACTTGATATCTCTCTCATTTTAACATCAAGTAGAATTCATGATGAGTATCCCACTGTGTATGTGCAACTTTGATTCCACAACATCTGTCAATTTAATACCTAATGCTTATAAACATTCCTCTGTGACCTTCTGCTTGGGCTCATAAATGTTTTATTAGCTATGAAATCAATATTCATATATACTCTTCTTACAATTTTATAGCATGGTGAATAGTAGATGATTATATCAATTATTTGTAAAAATAAAACTATAAATAAAAGAATTACTTAAAAATAATCTAGTTATGTCAGCTACAAAATGAAAGGAATCTCAAAATAAATGTGCCAAGCAAGAGACTTGTGTCTCTTTTATTTTACTTATTTATTATTTATTTATTATATATTTATTATATATATTTATTATATACTATTTATTTTATTTTAAAACTGTAATGAAATAATTATGACAATTATTTTGTTAAGCAAAACTTAAAATTCATAGCCAAAATAATGTTAGCTTCATTTAATAATAAAATTGTTATCTCCCATCAGGATTGCATGAAGCCCCAAAACCAGATCGAAAACTATTCATCAAAATTAGAGGTGAAACTTTAGTTATGCTGTTTTATCATATCTCCCAACTGGATATATTTAAAAAATTTCAACATATTCATAAAAATTCACCATGAGTGTTTCTGTATCATATAACACAGGTGCAGAATAGCAGGGAGCTTCAGGTCCATGGCTAACCTAGTGTAGACAGTAGATATGTGTGAACAAAACTACACAGCAACATCAAATATCCTCACGTATTCAAGTGAAATTAAACTTTACATTTCATGAATAGCAATTTAAAATCCACTCAAATTTAAAATAAGAAATCAAGCAACTTTTTTATATTTCTAAAATACCAGGTAAAACTGTATGGGACAAGAAAATTTGTATCTAGAAAAATCTGTAGCACAGATCTAAAGCACACTTCTATTTCTAGTAATGAAGGAATCCAATGTGGATACATATATGTGGAAGTATATGTATATGTATATATTCCATCCTTGCAAGAAGGGAACACAAGCCCTCAGGTTGTATCATTCACTAATATCCTTACTGCAATCAACTATCCCCCTTCATTTCCCCTTTTTCCTTAAGGTTTGTTAGTGTCTAAATTACTGTTGCTCTCTGTGACTATTCTCATTAACATTCTTGACGATTTAAATATTCAAAAAGACTACCCATTCAAATCCTGGCATTAGCTCTTTTTTTTGTAGTAAAGAAAATTGCTTTCTTTACTTGGGTACAAATATACACACACATGCTTATACATTAGCTTCAAACATATAGGTGATCTTAGCCTTTATGATGTTTAAGTAACAGTAAGACATGTATGCTCCTGAATCCTAGAGATTATAGATCTGTGTATTTTTTTAATTGAGGTATAACTTACACACAATACTATATTAGTTTTAGGTATACAATATACTGACTTGACATTTGTCCACATTGCAAAATGGTCATGATAATAAGTCTAGTTATCATCAGATAATGTTATTGACTATACACCCCATGTTGTACGTTAATTTCTACGACTTATTTATTTTATACCTAGAAGTTGGTACATCTTAATGTCCTTCACCCATTTCACATCCTCCCCCCAACTCCCATTACCTCTGGCAATCATCAATCTATTCTGCATATCTATGACTCTTGAGTTTTATTTTCTTTGTTTTGTTTTTTAGATTCCACATGTAAGTGAAATCATATGGTATTTGTCTTTTTCAGTCTGACTTATTTCACTTAGCATAATACACTCAAGTTCCACCCATGTTGCAAATGGCAAGATATCATTCTTTTTTATGGCTGAGCAGTATTTCATTGTACATATATACTGCATCTTCTTTACCCATTCATCCAACGATGGGCACTTCAGTTGTTTCCATATCTTGGCTGTTGTAAATAATGCTGCAATGAACATAGGGGTGCATACACCGTTTCAAATTAGTGGTTTCATTTCCTTGAGATAGATACCTGATACCCAGTAGTGGAATTGCTGGATCATATGGTAGCTCTATTTTTAATATTTTGAGGAACCACCACACTGCTTTCCATAGTGGTTGCACCAAATTATGCTTCCATCAACAGTGCATGAGGGCTCCCTTTTCCCTACATCCTTGCCAACACTTGCTATTTCTTGTCTTTTTGATAATAATCATTCTGAAAAGTGTCAGGTGACATCTCATGGTGGTATTGATTTGCATTTCCTGATGATTAGTGATGTTGAGCATATTTTCATGTGTCTGTTGGCCATCTGTATGTCTTCTCTGGATTAATGTCTATTCAGATCCTTTGCCCATTTTTATTCAGATTTTTTTCTTTTCTTTTTTTTTTTTGCCATTGAGTTGTATGAGTTCCTTATACATTTTGGATATTAACCCCTTATCAGATATGTGATTTGCAAATATCTTCTCCCATTCAGTAGGTTTTCTTCACTGCACAAAAGCTTTTTAGTTCAATGTAGTCCCATTTGTTTATTTTTGCTTTTGTCTCTCTAGCCTTTGGAGTCAGATACACAACCCCCCCCTCCAATGTCACTAAGACTGATGTCAAGGAGCTTCCCAACTATGTTTTCTTCCAAAACTTTTGTGGTTTCAGGTCTTACGTATTAATTTCAATCCTTTAATTCATTTTGAGTTGATTTTTGTGTGTGGTATAAGACAGTGGTTCAGTTTCATTTTTCATGTAGATGTCCAGTTTTCCCAACACTATTTATTGAAGAGATTGATTTTCCCCATTGAATATTCTTGCCTCTTTGTTGTAAATTAACTGATCATATACGTGTGAGTTTAGTTCTGGGCTCTGTATTGTTCTATTGATCTGTGTGTGTGTTTTTGTGCCAGCACCACACTGTTTTGATTACTACAGCTTTGTAGTATAGTTTGAAATCCAGGATTGTGATACCTCCAGCTTTGTTCTTCTTTCTCAAGATTGTTTTGGCTATTCAGGGTATTTTGAGTTCCACATAGATTTTAGAATGACTTTTCTAGCTCTGTGAAAAATGTCATGGGAATACTGATAGGGGTTGCACTGAGTATGTAGATTGCTTTGGGTAGTATGAGTATTTTGATAGTATTAATTCTTTCACTCCACGAGTATGGAATATATTTCCATTTATTTATGTCTTCTTCAATTTTTTTCATCAATGTCTTATAGTTTTCAGTGTACAGATATTTTGCCTCCTTGGTTAAATTTATACCTAGGTATTTTATTCTTTTTGATGCAACTGTAAATGGGATTGTTGTCTCGATTTCTCTTTCTGATAGTTTGTTATTAGTGTATATAGAAACGCAGACTTCTGTACATTAATTTTGTATCTTGCAACTTTACTGAATTCATTTATTAGTTCTAACAATTTTTTTGTGGAGTATTTAGGGTTTTATATATATAGTATCATGTCACCTGCAAACAGTAACAGTTTTACTTCTTTCTTTCCAAGTTGTACGATTTTTAGTTCTTTTTCTTGCCGAATTGCTGCACCTTACTGTCAAAATCTTTATTGGGGTAGGGCCACAGCCCAAGCTCTAAGGTCTGAAGGGCCCATTGGCTGGGCTTCACAATCAAGTGGGTCTGACAGCTGGTCTTCATGGCCAGGTGGGATCACTGGCAAAGCTCTGCAAATGCCTCTGATCAAGTAGGGTTCTTCAGTGACCCTGTGAAACCTTGGAACCTACCCTATATACCGTCCTGGCTGTGGAGCCCGGCATACAGCCCTGCTCAGTGGCTGAGCACAACCTGCAGCCTTGCCCAGGCAGGGAGCCTATTCAGTAGTATTCTTCCCCTTTATTGCTAGCTGATCCCAGGTGGTCTAGCCCTCCCAATTTTCCTGGTGTTCCCTACAAGACAAGATAAAAGTGGATCTCTCAGGAAGCTTTCCATAAAGTTGGGAAACCTGGATGTTCATATTGGGTCCTTTTTTCCCCACTGAAGAACCCTCTTGGTGTGACTCTATGCTGGCATGGGGGTGGGGCTCTCTGGTCAAAGTGAAACTGTTCTTCTTACACATCTAATGTGGTTTTCTCAGTTTTAGTGGTTCAAGGGTTAGGGTACTTCAGCAGCTTTGGTTTTCTTTTTCAACAATCCCTTGGAGATTCAGGGTCTTTTCTGGTTCCATGCAAATTTTAGGATTGTTTATTCCAGCTCTGTGAAAAATGTCGATGGTATTTTGATAGGGATTGCATTGAAAGTGTAGATTGCTCTGGGCAGCATAGACATTTTCACAATGTTTATTCTTCCAATCCATGACCATGGAATGTTTTTCCATCTCTTTGTGTCTTCCTCAATTTCTTTCATAAGTGTTCTGTAGTGCCTAAAGTATAGGTCCTTTACTTCTTTGGTTAGGTTTATTCCTAGGTATCTTGTGGTTTTGGGTGCTACTGTAATGGAAACGATTCCTTAATTTCTCTTTCAGTCACATTGTTAGTGTATAGAAATGCAACTGATTTCTGTGCATTGATTCTGTATCCTGCCATGTTGCTGAATTGCTGTATGAGTTCTAGTAATTTGAGGGTGGAGTCTTTTGGGTTTTCCCATAAAATATCATGTCATCTGTGAAGAGAGGGAGTTTGACTTCTTCTTTGCCAATTTGAATGCCTTTTATTTCTTTTTGTTGTCTGATTGATGAGGCTAGAACTTCCAGTACTACGTTGAACAAAAATGGTGAGAGTGGGCATCCCCGTCGTGTTCCTGACCTTAAGGGAAAAGCTGTTTTTCCCCATTGAGAATGATATTCTCTGTGGGCTTTTCATAGATGGCTTTTATGATATTGAGCTATGTTCCCTCTATCCCTATACTTTGAAGAGTTTAAATCAGGAAAGGATGCTGTATTTTGTCAAATGCTTTTTCCGCCTCAATTGAAAGGATCGTATGGTTCTTGTCTCTTCTTTTGTTAATGTGATCCATCACGTTGATTGATTTGCGAATGTTGAACCACCCTTGTATCCCAGGAATAAGTCC